TATCGGCACTTCCATAAAAATGACGAACAGAATTTCTATCTAATTAAGAGTTTCTGTCCTAGAACCTAATGGGCCGACTTATTAATTTTAAGCATCAACAGACGTTCATATTAGTTTGTGTTTGTTAGTGTTTTAAAATTCACTTTTGTTCTTCTGTTCGAGGAAAGAAGCTTTTTTGTTTAATACTTCTGAAAATATTCGCAAGTTCCATAACAAAATATTACCCCGCCAAAAGTTATCTCTGTCCAGCATTGTCGTCTCGATATCAACAGTTGCTATTGACGGCTCTGCTTCTGACTTATTGTTAGATAAATGACTTTTTAATATTTTCAATAATGCATTGACAAAGCATTATCAAAAGGACACAACAACAACTCACGCCCCCCGAACAACCTTCATCCACACAGGCTCTGCCTTTCGCATTATTAATATCAATACAAAAGCCAAAATATTAACGCCATAAAAAATATAGCGGCATAGGAATGGTATTGGAAAAAAGTAAGCAAAAAAAAAAAAAAAATTGAAAAAGTGCAAATGCAACAACGCCAACAGGGTGACTTATGCGATTATAGACAACTGGCACGCACACATATATATAGTATAGTCCTATATATATACACACACACACACACACCCAAGAGCAACTCACAGATGCGAGGGTCGCTCCATAGAGGGGCTTTTCATTTCGTTTCATCTGGCACTGTGCGCCGTGACATGAGCAAATAAACGCTTCATATTTGTCGGTTATTTATGAGGGTCCTTGGGACGACGACCACCACGAGGCGAAGCGCGTTCCGTGGGTCGCAGCTGCATCGAATAGAAAGTGTGAGTGAGCGCACAAAAAAAAAATTGAAAGAAAAAAATTATCACTGCCACAATTTTTCTTGCCGCTTTATGCAAGGGATTATACTTGTTACATAGCGCCGTTCTCTCGCCAGTTCGGCGCGGCCTTGATGTGGGCCCATGGCCAGCGGTTCGTGCAACGCCTTCGGCAGGAGGCTTCGACAAGTGTTGGTGTTGTTTTTGTTGTCGTTGTTGTTGCAGCCGCGGGGCGTGCAGCTTGTTAAGCTTGTGAATTGTCTGCGAAAAAAACATAAATTTTATGGCACATATTTATTTTGACGCATTTTATGTTGCAATCAAACTGTGCAGTTGCAGCTGAGCTGCTCGTCCTCGTGATCACTCAACGCATTCCTAAGTTGAACGAAAGTTGCTCAGAGGGATAAAAAGAAGCGAAACGAAATGAGCAGTGACAGGACTGAGATATTGAAGTTTCATTGCAAAATATATCAAGTTTTTTCATTCAATTTAGACATATTTTGAGCAGAATCGATTTATTTGTATTCATCCATTTTTAATCAGGATATTAAAATGAAAGATGATGCGCAAAATATGAAATATGGGCTAATTCAGAAATATCTAGCGTATACAGACAATTTATCCATTTTTAAAATTCATTTTAAGTCAAATTTTGTTGTGTAAATAATTTAATTTTCTTGTCCTGATCTCATTTAAATATATTTTGAATAATTATATTTGTCTTTTTCAAAAGTCATAGCTTTTCGATTATTTAAATGACATAGGAACGTTTCTACTTAAAAACATAACTTTAATTGAGAATAGCACTTTTCGGTTTTGATGGCTCTGCCAGAATTAAAGGCACGATTTGTTTAAATTAAAAAAAAAAAATTAAAATGTAATTTAAAGTTTGCTTAGTTTTTAAAACAACGTACAAATAATTTATTTTCCTATAATAAAAGTCACAGGTGAATAAAACAAACTAGAATAAAATAAACTATACTAAGTACATTATATATACAATTTTTATCAGTTCCAAGCCCATTACTCGGAAGCAGAATGCAACGCAAAAATATACAAAATATAGGCCGGATCTATATAGTATAGCATTAAGATAAAAAAATTTCAAAAGATCTCAAATCTCAACAGCTTTGTATTTCGATAGTGTTATTATATTATTTGTTATCGCTTTATTCTTATCTTGCCAAACCAAATAATATTATCAAAGCTGCTGAAAAGTATCTTTAACTTGGCATACAAAACTGTTGCCATTCTCTCTGTCTCTCCCACACACACACAGAGTTCGTCGCCTGTAAGTGTAACAATTTAAATTAATAATTTGCCCAAATTGCACCAAAGTATCATAAAGGGACTAAACCCAAACCTTAACCCACACCACCACAGCATTTAAATGTAGCCCAGAGGCAAATGTTGGAATAAAATAAACTGGGAAGCATGAAAAACCTCACAGAAAGCCATAACCAAAAACTTCGCAGCCCACACAACCACGCACACACACACATACATACGTACGGAGTAACGGTCCTCAGACAACCCTCCCACAGCCATTGAGTGTCTGTACAATTGCGGGCTTACCTTTTTCGTCGAGCCACACCACATAGTACCTTATCCCATATCCGAGCAACCTTGCCGTGCATATTCAGTGAAATCATTTCACATAATTAGGGATCATTTAATAATGGGGTGACATTAATTGAAAGCACACAGAGAAGCCCACAGAACCACCCGCCCATCCATAGACTCGCAACTCGTGCCCTCCCCAGCCCAGCTACCGTTTTATTTTATGGCCTTACACTTGCCCACGAATTTAACAACCCACCCAATCCCAGCACGGTCCACTTGACTGGCTTTACGAGCAGCCTGGGCTGGCCAGGATACTGGGGTTGAGTCTCAGCGAGGATGTGGGTGTGGGTGTGGGTATGGGCGCACGTTTCGCGTGGGGCGTTTTGTTTGACCGCCGCTCCGTTTTATTGGCCTCTTGTCGTCGTGGTTGGCTTTCAGGTCGTTGGTGCCGTTGTCAGCGACGTTGTCGTTCTTGCTAATTGATTTCAATTTTAATGAAAGTCAAGCACCAAAAAGTTTAGTCACTGTTGTTGTCGTCATAAATTTTGCGGTCAATTTGTGTTTGTTAATTGCAGCGACGTGTGTTGACTTCGGCTTCAGCACCAACTCCTACTACTGCTCCCACTCTCCGTAGAAATTGCAGCACTTTTATTTGAATTCCTGTCGTAATTAGTGCGCAATTATTATGCTTGGCCTACAATAATAGCAGCAGTAACTAACAACTAATTGCCTAAAATCTATTGCATTTTAACTAATTTGTGTGCAAATGTTTTGCTGACGCGACCACAGAAAATGGCGCGCCCTTTATTTACAATTTGTAATAAAATTGATTACAAATGTAATATTGTATGCATATTTCTAAATAAGTAGTAGATGGGTAGTACATGCCATTCATATGGGAACTATTTGGAGCTACTGAATAAGAGAATAAAAATGTCTAAAAATAGCAATTAAGAATATACTTCCTTTTCTCCATTTGAATATTTCTTCTTCTGAACTTTATATATTTTGGAATGCAATTTATAGCTTTTTTATGGGTTTATTTTAAATCTTCATCTTCTTCCTCTCTCTTCACGTTACATATAAGAGAACTGCTGGTGTTATCGTAGTTTTGAATTTCTCTCCCCAGCATTATTTTTTTTTATTTTATATTTTATAAACAGCTTAATAGGTAATTAAAATTACAGATAAGCTATGGAATAAGCTAAGCTAGCGACGAGGCCTTAAGCTTACTTCCCAGCATTATAAATCAGTCGTCTCGTCTTAAAATCGCCAAATTTAATAAACATTTAATATTAATATTGAATTTTTGTTTGGAACCATGGGAAAAATATAGCTATTAAAGCTTGTTGATCAAATATTGATTGTTTATAATTTCTTTAAAATCTTACTCCTCTTCTTTCCAAACTATTTGTATTTAACATTAATATGTTGAACTTTTTAATGGAATGCATTACCATTCTTTTTTGTAAATACTCGTAGCTTCAAAACGTATGCAAAGGCACTTGATTCAGTTAAGAAACAAAATTAATTAATTGTTTTCAAATATTCAAAAAGGTATCCAATGCTTTTCTAATTATTCGTTAATAAATGAATCTCTTATTCCTTTTCGACATTACTAATACAATTCATAATATATACTTGTATAATAATATGTATATGTATATGGCTTCTTTGTTTTCAAGTTCAATACTTAACCAATGTTTTTCTGGTACTTTTTTTTACTGTACAGTTAGAGGTATTATGCTCAATAATTACCCAACAATGTTAAAATGATGTCTTGTATTTTTATTTTGACCAGATGAACTTAAGAGTTAACGACTTATTGTCATCAATCTATAAAGCTAAAAGTTTTAGAGAAGTTGTCATTTTAATTGCACTTTTCAGTGAAGGGGGCATAAAAAAGGGGGCTTTTGAAGCCCTACCTCTCTACCTTCTCTAACCAAGTGTCATTTGCTGTGAGTGTTCTTCATTTATAACCCGCACATTGCCTGTTTACCGCTAGTTACACCCCAAAACACACCACCACCTTGCGATGGCAACAAATTAGCAGCTGTGTGTCGAATCGGCGCATTTTCCATCGCGCTGCCACCATAAACAATTAATAAATGTCAAAAACTTTGCCGCAGCAATGCCATGGTCTGGCTTCGGTATGCCTCTATTGTCGCCACTCTCTCTCTCTCTCGCTCGCACTTGTTTGAAATTCTTGACGATATTATTTTCTGGGTAAATTTTACGACAACGCTTATTGTGTATCATAATTAAATTTTGGAAAGTAAACTTTTGAGCGACTCGCACCAGCATCTTCTACGCTATTGGATTTTAAAAAGCTTGTAAACATGGCTTTTAAACGGAGTTTACGGTCCCCAAAAAGTTTTACGAGACAACGGTAATATTTAAATATGTTTATGGTGTTTAGCTTGTTAAACAGCTTTATGGAGCTGGCGATGTTGAAAGGTTTTATCGATTTTTTGAAGCTTTTGAATTATATAGCTTTAATAGTTGTCTAACTATTCCAAATCCTTTTTGATTTCAATTAAATTATTTTCTGTTCGTATTTAAGATTTATTCATTTCTACAATTAATTCTAATACTCTTTCTTTTTGCTTCTTTTGCAGTGTCCGCCAATCTGTCGCAATCACATCAGCACCATCAAGCTAACGATAAGGATGGCAAGAAGAAACATACCCGCCCTACATTCAGTGGTCAGCAGATTTTCGCACTGGAGAAAACATTCGAGCAAACCAAATATCTGGCTGGACCAGAGCGCGCCAAACTAGCATATGCCTTAGGAATGTCAGAGTCTCAAGTGAAGGTAAGCAATATAATTCGTATTAAAAACTCATAAAATGGTGGCAAGCATTTAAAAACGGAGTCCTTCCGCGCAAAAGGTATTCGGTTGCTTAGCTGCGCCAAATTCAAATACTCCCCCATTGTGACTTTTGTGGCAATTTGCATTTTTATTGAAACGCAAAGCTCGTGGATTTTTGCTTTATTTTTGTTGCAAAACAAAATGGCGCCAATGGCTGTCTCTCCGTCCCTCTCCCACTCCTTCTCTTATTTGTTTTCCTCCCCGTCTATATCATTCTCTGTGGGTTATGGTTATGCCCTAAAGGCTTAGTGCACATGTCTGTTGTCCCTTGAGCTGCTTCTGCTACTGCTGCTGCTGGCCATAAAAAACAATCCCCATGCCCGTAATTTTAAAGTTTTCAGTGTTTTTTTCAAAATGTTATCAACAAATAAATCCTTTGTGTCGTCAAATTTGTCGAGCGGCGGCGGCGGTGGCGGCGACGCCGTCATCACCGTTCATGTAATCCGGAGCTCAAACGTAACGCCCCAAAAAACGCACGTGTCATTGTGTGTGTATGTGTTTGTATGTGTGTGTATGTGTGTGTCGCGTGTGCGACAGGGTTTTGTATCTTTTTGGCTTGTCATTTAAATTAGTTGTAAGCCATGGCAGTTAATTGGTTTGCGGTGGGTCACCAGATAGACTGCCAGTATTGTTAAAGCCAATTGAGGCAAATTTCATAAGCTTGTACAAGTAATAGATTTATTAATAAAAGAAAATGAGAACACAAATGGAGGAACAGCGGAAGAAAATGAGGGGTCGGATAAATAACTTGCAATAATTGCAAATTATCTTAAACTAAGAATAGAGGATTCCCTCTCTCTGGAAAGTCTGGTCTAAATAACAATACAACTATAATAAAAGTTTAAATTTTGATTAAATAGTTTAAAAATCATTATGATGTAATGTGATTATAGGTTGACAAGTTAATAGTCCCAATTCTTCAGAATGCAGCCCATTCACATTAAAGTGTTGACACAATATATACAAAACGTCGTAGAACTTATCATTTAAAAACCAAAAAGAATATTTTTTATTATTATTTTATTTACTAATTTCCAAACCGTTTTGGTTCTTTTCTAACTTTCCATTACGACACCATTGAAGCTAAGTAGCTTCATTTACTAAGTACATTATTTTAGTTCTTACTTTTTTTTAACAAACAAAAAATGCTCTCACAATTTGCTTAACTTGATAATACAACAAACTATAAAACCATTAATTATAATAATTAATTGTAGATAGTATTTGTTATTCATTTTTTTGAAGCACAAATTTTGCTTATTTTGTGATGTAATCGTTTTATTTTGATTTTCCAATGATAAGCAAAATTATTGATATACTTTATTCGACGTAGTATAGTTGAAGTTAATGTTTTGATAAAAACTACAAAGCGATCATCAAAATATTTGGAATATGTTTGTTCTCGTGAATATGAAAGTTGATTTTTAATAAATTAAATTAATCATCATCAAGCAATCATGATATGATTTCAGAATTTAATCCGATTTGTAAAAAGTCAAAGAACCGTAAATATACTTGTAACAATAAGTATATACAAGTACTATAATTAAGTACAGTATTTTATATACAAATGCGGAGTTTTAATATTCCCAATAGATCATGTTTTAAGAAAGTAGTAGTAAAATAATTGGCTTCAACATCTATAATTTTATTATCTGAAATTAATTGAGTTTACAAATCTCCCTGTCAGTTGTAGTGGGTTTTTTGGATTCCATTGAATCACGGATCCGCAAACACTATACCCTTCCGATTGAGAGTTTCCATTACATACATACGCTCCATTACCCTTCCATGTATCATCATGCAGATACTCGTATTTGTCAAACTATTTGTAGCTACACGCACCACCACCCGTTAATATCCATAACTTTCACCCTCTAATGGAGGAAAATTCCATACAGACAACTTGCCACAATCACAGCCGGAAAGCTTTGAGCTCAGGCATTCTCAGTGGAGAAAAAATCACGTTTATGATGAGTAAAATGATTAATTACCAAAGAATGAGGCCGTTGGCATGGTAGGGCATAGGAAACAAGAAAATTTCTATGTAGCCAGCGACAGAGATAGAGACGAGCGAGTGTGGGTCTCTCCCAAGCAGTAGCAAATGGTCAGGATTGATGGCTTAAGCTGCAGCTAAATATGCGTCAGTTGTGCAAGGGCTAAATAGATACAAACACACACACACACACACAGGGACAGAGAGACAGACAGACAGACATACAGACAGACAGAGAGACGCAATGCTGATGACGAGTACAAATGGACAGCAGCAGGAGCAGCCTAGAGAGATGGAGATGGATGAATGAGTAGATGGACGAGAACGGTTTGTTTTGGGTTGAGTGGGTTGGGTTGGGTTGGATTGGCTTGCCTGAATGGCTGAATGGCGACTGATAGACATGCCAAATGACTGCATGACTTTTGGGTGAGTGTAAATTAAATTCTGTGCAACGATGACGACGACGACGACGATGTTGGCACTACACTTACAACAACAACAACAAGAACAACAGTGGCTTCATACATATTCAATTAGAGTGCGTGTGTATTTGGTTGTGTGTGTGTTTGTGTGTGTGAGGACGAGATGAAAAACAGCCATGACGATGATAGTATGCAAATTGACAAACAAAAACACAGCAGCCAAGCAGCCAAGCAGCATGGCTGACTGTCTGCCTGTCCTTCTATATGTATGCACGGCCCACATGTGTGTTTGTGTGTGTGTGTGGGGATGGCAGAAAGTGGCTTGCATGCCAAAATATGACAGACGACTGGGCGTATAAAATGCAAAACAACAGAGAACGCCCCAGTGTGTGTGTGGGTGTGTGTGGGTCTGTGCTTGCATGTAAAATGATCTTGACAAGAATAATTGCGCTGTTATCATAATTAAAACCATTTTTGTACGCAACCGTCCCAGCCAGCCTTGCTAACATTGTCCAGTTTAGCAATCATTTAATGCAAATGGTCGCCATTTTGTACGTTCTTATGACAGTCCTCGTCCTCGTTGTCGTCATACCATGTCCCCAGCATAACGACTCCTGTATCTTCTTACCCTTCCCCCTCATGAATAATGGCGTCTGCGCACAATATTTAGTGCCGGCGGTGTGGGGCAAGAAGGGCTTCATTATTAATGACTCTCTAGCTAGCTGCGTGTGTGTTGTTATTTAGTACAATATGATTATTGTGTGATTGTTGCTGTTGCTTTTTCCTGATTCTCTCTTTTGCATAAATGCAATGCATTTAGCATTTCATTACAGTGATTGTTGAGTCAATGTATGTAAACGCATTGCGACTCATTCGGTTCGTAGTCCCCAAGTTTGTGCAGTCATGTTGCTTTGATTTGTTTTGGGAAATGCGTATTGTTTGGGCTCTCAGCACAAATCGAGTAGATTTTGTTTGATTTAACTGACTGATTGAACTATAAAATATGCGTATATATTTACAAATTCTATATAAATTTTATGATTTGTTTAATCACCTTCCTCTATCTATCTATCTCGATCGTTTCTTTCTAAAAGTTCACTCTAGGAATGCTTTCTTCTGTTAACATTGTCTAACATTGTTCCTTTGCAAAAATCGCAATGTTTTCATTTTCAAAAGATTCCCTTAACTTCTCAACAAGCTGAGACTCCCAAATCCTCAAAACACATAAATTATCGTTTCCCACTTGGTCACAAATTTGTGTACGAAATGAGTTTTTTTTTTTTTTTGATGGGCATATTATTACAATTTTAAATATTAGAAATAATACATATATTACATATTTTTTAAATACCTTTTCATTATTGTGTAGTTCGGTAAATTTTTGTTCAACACAGAAAACTAAATCTTAATGTCAATGTTTTTCCATTATAATTTGCTGATCGGGTAGATTGCAAATAAAAATCCAATACAAACAAAAAAAAAATTTAAATCGCCACTTTTTGAATTTCATAAAATTTGAAAAGTAATTGAAAATTTTAATAAACTGCCAATTTCTGAGAACTTTGACTCTACAAATTCAATAATGCAATTACCATATTTTATTATTATGTTGACATAAAGTTAAGAGTAGAACTGGTTTTAACGGCTCCATCGATTATCTTTGAATTGTTTAACTCAAATATAAAATGCAAAACTAAACACATGATATCAGTGTTAAGTCTCTTGTTAACAAAAACATTGTTAATGCGATTATAAAATTCAAAAAAGCACTGTAGTAAAACAGCAAAAGCTTGAGCTTAGACCATGAAGAGTATGGCTTTTACATTTTATAATATGTTGTTAAATAAACCAAAAACTTAACGCACTATTAGCACATGCATTAAGAAAACCATTGACCAAATCAATTCGAAACAGCTGTCACGGCTGACAGTTGGCCGTTGGGCTAAACCCGGTCGTGAGTGACATTCAAAGTCGGGGAACAAAACTAAGGCAACAAAGAGCAGGCGACAATGGCAATCTATAAAAACTTATGACAGAAAGGTGAAATATTGTCTAATTGAATATTGGATATGAAGAGACTGAACTGTGAGTTGAAAGAAAATGAACATTTGGTTTATTGTGCGCGCTAATGGATTTGATTGTGTGTTAATGAATGACGCATGCATGATACCAAAGAAATTTGGCTAGAAATGCAAACAGTATTCAAGTCTACATTCTTGGTAGTTGGAATTTTTGAGATCTATAGGGCCAGAATGGGCTATAGCCGAACCCGAACTCACAATTAGTCAAATAAAACAGTGCTGTATCTCTCAGTTTATGGCTACAAAAGGCAAATAAATCACAAACTCACATAAATATGCGCATCTATGGCGAGGGAGAGCCTGTCAAAGCGCACGGCATTCAAATTAAAATTTATGGCAGTTTTAAAAGCCAAAAAAGCAACGAGTTTTTTTCGTATTATAGTATTTTATTTTACTCTTATTTTTATTTCATTGTATCAAGTCAGCCAGGTTGACCAATAACAGCAGAATATGAAAAAAAACGAGAGAAGTAACATCAACTTGTCAGTCAGTCAGTCGGTCGGTCGGTCGGTCAGTTGGTCTGTTGAGGTGGTTCGATTGCCCGGTGAGGGCGAGGGCCAGGGCAAAGGTCTGTGCAGCCATGTTGTAAATTTTCATGACTTTTAAGTACCCCAGAGAGCGGGCAAGCGGCACCAGCACCAGCTCCAGAGCGCGTAAACAAATAAATTTCCAATTTGGCCGCAGTCATATATTTGCTTCGAGGTAGCAGTTGAACAAAAAAAAAAAAATAAAAAAATACACACACATATAAAAATGAGGAAAAAAAGGTTTGGTTTTGACATCCGTTCCCTAGAATTTACATATATCGTTTTATCCTTATCGCACACCTGACATACGGCAGTGCGTCCCGCTGGGGTGCCAACAAACATTCCTATCATTGGCTTCGACTTGCCAATGCTGTTGTTGTTATTGTTATTCCTCCTCCTATATCTTATATCCTCCCGAATGCAATAAATAAATCCAATCCAATTCGGCCCAATCGAAACGAAGCGTAACGTGGCCGCGTCAAATTGATTGCCACAATATTTGATTGACTTTGACATGTTGCTGTCATAAATTCAAGCTACATGCGATTTGTATTTGTGTTTGTGTTCCATTTGTTGTTGCTATTGTTGTTGTTGTTATTTTTCGACTTCTTGTTGATGCCATTTGTCCGCAGGGAGTCCCACTGGGCTCCTGAGTCGTTTCATCGTCGGCGACCATAAAAGTGTCGCGCCCATTTGTGAAAATTTGTCGAAAAGGCGACTACGTGTGTGGGTTGGCTTTAGTTTAATATCTTTGCAGATTTATGGGGGCACAAGTTGAAAGGAAGCCAAATGTGGTATGAAGTTTAGTGTAGAACCGTTAGGACTTATAAAATCTGAAGATAGATTAATGCAGCTTAAAGTCAAATAAAATATCGTTACACAAGAAAAAGTTGTTTTTTTTTTCATTCAAAATAGCTATATATTTTCGATCTGAAAAAAACATTATGAAAAATCAACCTATAAAGCGAAAAATGAAGTCCACATTTTTTTAAATTAATGTTATTCCTCCAAGTTTACTAAAATAATAAAATTTCTATAAAGAAATACAATATGTAAAACAATTTTTAGTGTACCCAAGTATTTTTAAGAAGTTTAATAAATTTGAACCAAAGCTATATGGAAATGTTTTGCAAACTATTAGGCGTATTTAATAATTTATCATAAAAAGTTAAACGCAATCGTCAGAATCGGAATTATCACTTTTATGTAAACTGTTTTAGATTCTTCAAATTCCAAAATATATCCATGCTTTTGGAAATGATTTTCCACATAAAATATTTGGGAATCTTTAAACATGCGTATATACATCAAAGGAATAAGGGTCTTATCCTTATTCCAACTCTAAAGCCTTCTGATTCTCTTGCCTTTGAATGGAGCTTTTTCAAACTTTGTTCCACGCCCATGATATATCGAAGAGTTGATTAATAAACAGTTCCTTCACTTCCCCTATTTAAACAATCCTACGTAGTTCTATTCATCATTGCCCTATTTGCCACTCTCTCTTTCTCTCTATCTCTCTCTTTCTCAAAGTTTATGGATTCCTCTCATGTCTCGTCTGTCCACAATTGAAGTAGCGCATCAAGCAGTCTGTTGCCTTCCACTTACGCGCATGCTTTAGTGGGTGTTAGATGACGCATACGCCGTTATGATGTCGACAACAGCAACAAGGCCAAGTAAAGCCCTACCCATACCAGGTCCCCTACCCCTCTCCAATCACGAATGGCCAACGTGCGCATCCTTCGCAGCAGCACAGCAAATCCCGTACAACATGGTCGCAGCTGTTACCAAAAAATAATGACCATGAAAAGCAGCCTTAATGATGCCAACTAATGTTGTTGTGCTCCTTGTTGTTGTCCATGTCTGTGGGGGGCTGTTGGCTGCTGGCTGCTGTTTGAGAACCAACGTTGGGCAGCGCCAAAAACGGCAGCAAGTAGAGAGATACGTTGCTGTTGTTGTTGCTTGCCCCTCTGCGGCATGTAACACACGAAAAATATTAATTGTATTTTTATTTCGCATTATGCTGCAAATAATAATTACACAAATGTGCAAATGAAGTTGTAAATTATGTCGTATCTGGTTTAATTGCACCTTTGGGTTGCTTGCGGTAACAAAAAGAAGCCCTGATTCCCGTAGTGTGGAAACAACAAGCAGTAAAGCAAATTCTTCAATTAAATATGTGGAAAGCACTTGAAATTGACTTTCCACTAATTTTCGCAAAGGCGAACAGTTCATGTTCATGTTCATGCTTTAAGAATGAACTTAATTTAGAAATAAGTTAGTGATAGATTTAAATGAGTTATTAAAAGATTAAGCTTGGGAAATGCTTTGATAATAATGCACTCTAAGCAAAAACGATTGTAAATTTTAAAATGATCACAAAATTATTTTTTTATCTTAGCCTTTCAAAATAATTTTTTTATCTTGGCCTTTCATCCTAATCTTTCAGAAAAATGTATATTAAGTCAATAATTAATAGATATTTGGGAACAAAGATGATAAAAAAAGTGTTAAACGTGGCAAGAAAGAAAACAATTTAAATATTTTGTTCAAAAAGTTAATTCTATTCTAAAGTTAATCATAATGCTGTCAAGGTGGTCCAAAAACTAAAATTTTTAAAAATAATTATTTCATATGAAATTAAATTCACATTCATTTCCAAACTATAGTCTCAGATTTAGACGCTTGAAGTAAATTGCAAGTTTACGATTGAGAATGAAATGATTTGTCAAATTTCACCTCATACATATACGGAATAGTCTTGGCAATATCATGTGGTCATTGCTAAGGGCTCTTTAACGCTTAACGGTTTAGAATTTATTTTTGGAAATGCGAGGGATTTAAAGTTATCTTTTATAACAAGTGGGGTTGACTTTAAAGTCTTTCCAGGCATATTCTTGTTACACATAAAAGCTATCTATTTGAGGTTATATTTTATAAGTAATGGATCTGTGCTTTAAATAAATACAGTCTTTCCAGACAGATTATTGTAAGAATTGGTTGACAAATCCATTTCTGCTTATGTTCCCTTTCGGTGGTTTCTAGAAAAAGGTACATCAGCAATGCTCTTCCAATATGCTAGGGGCTGTAAAGTTGTTAAAACAACTTGGTTTTATAGCAATCTTTCTTCTCAATTATGCAGCCACACTCTATCTATACCATGTCGCATTATTAAAGGCTGAAAATATTTGTAAATGATAATCTGCGCTGGCTACTTGATTATTTAAATCTCAACTGCTAGTCATGTTAATGACGTAAACTACAAGATTATAAGCTTGAGTTAGAGTTAAAAGCGCTTCATCATCAAACAAATGTTGAAATTATGCCAGATATGGCAGCAATACGCCCGCAAAAAGCTACAAAACGTGCCCCGGACGCTTGTCAGGGTGGTTGGGATGCAACATATGTTGCCGGAGACCGCTCAACGGACGACTCCTGTATGTAAAGTGAGGCGCAACCAAAGACGTTAGTCATGGTTTTGCATAGTTTTTGCTGTAACTGCTGTTGCTGCTCTAGGCACAGTCGTTGTCCAGGGCTTAATATTGTCTTAATTGAGGGTTAACCGGCGTTGATGATGCGACTTATGGGCTGTGAGGCGGGCAGGAGCGCAATGTGTTGGTTGTTTGTTTGGCAGAATGGCTGAATGGTTGAATGCCTGCAACCTCGACTTAATGACTTTGACAATGTGCGTATGTTGCTCCATTTGGTCTGGCTAGCTACTTATTGGATGGAGGGGGCGAGTGAGGATGGCGGTGTGCTGCCTAATTACACATGAAACTTTGCGCTTATTTAAAACTTTAATTGCCATACATTTCAACTTTTGCTTTTTCAATTTTCATTTACAGGTTTGGTTTCAAAATCGTCGCACCAAATGGCGCAAACGTCATGCGGCCGAAATGGCCACGGCCAAGCGGAAACAGGACGATATGGGTGGCGATAATGATGGCGATTGTAGCGAGACTATGGACAGCGATAATGAAAGTCTCGATATGGGAGAGACGCCAGCGCAAAGTAAGCGATGTCGCATGTCGTCTGGCTCCTCCTCATCTCAGCAGCAGGATAATTATCGTCATTAAAACGAATTTACAAATGAAAAAAGTTTTTAAGAACTTTACATGGGGCGGCAACAAAATAATTATTACAATTCAAAGACGCCGCAGCTAATAAACTACAGGCAGCAATAAAAGCAACAATTTTCACAGCGCGCTTGATTAGATGTGAAAATTCCTTTGGCATTTCAGTTTTCACAACAGCAGGAGAAACTGTCAACAAAAATTAATGCAAAAAAAAAAAACAAAAACAAAAATGAATAAATCAAATAAAAAGAAAGGTTTTGCCACTTTACAGTCTTCTGAAGACGTCAATTCTAAGCTAACAGAGTTTCTTTCGATTTGTATTGTAATTTTCAGCAATTTGTTTAATATGTGTGTGTAAATATTTATGTTAGTTTAAAGTGCATAGTTGTAGGCATTTGTATTTAATTAGCGGCCACATTGTCGCATTAACTCTAATTGCTAAGTCCAATTTACTGAATTTATTACAACTGTATATGTTTAACTTTAGTTTATAAACGATTATCGCTAAATTGAAAGTAATCGCGTGCATTAGACAGACTTAAATCTAATTATAAATGAAATAAAATGAAATAAAATGAATAATTCAACTATGCAGAAAGCGAGTACATTTTAAAGTATTTAACGATGAACTACTGCAGTAAATTATGTAAAATGTATTTAAATTTAATTGTAATTCTAATTATTTCAAATTGATAAAGAATAAATGCAAGAAATATTGAATGAGAAATAATATATATTGTTTTGAGCATAATTTTATTTGCTTTGATGAAATATTAGGACATTTCTTTGTAAGCGAGCGGTTAAATTCTGGGCAACAAGAGATGTTGAGGTACGATTCGGTTTCATATTTAACATTTAGTGGAATGAAGTAAATGCCTTAGACTTCACGGTTTTTACTTTAAAGAATCGAGTATTTATTTTACCCGAAAAATGTTTTTAAGGCATGGCATGCTTTCAGCATAGCTCTCTAACTTATATGCTTTCGAAATTTTGCAATTAAATTACAAGTTTTTTACAAGTTTTTTTGCTTGCTTTGGTTAAATTAAAAGGCCTTGATTTGCTCGTAAAATGCGGCTATTTACGCTAGTTATGAAGGGTTAAGCCGACCTGGTTAACACTGCCGAAGCCCTCACCAGATTGTCGTGATTAGCTGTAAGCACGCCTTCTCATTTCAGCTTTTTAAAGCTGTTCTCTATCAGGAAGATAAGGGGTAGCTTCAATGTATATTGTAGGGACAATCAAAAAAACACCAGCTCTACTTTAAATTAAGAGTGCACGCCCTCTACAAACATTGGTCTGCTGTTTCAGCAAAAAAGCCATAGCATCGTTGCTTTGAAAAAATATTTCCCTTGGCTTGACTCTCCTAAAAATATTTTATAAAAAGAAAGCATTTTCTTTCAGCATCTCAGAGCGTGTTGAGCGATGGTTTAATTTTCAGATGACATTTGCAACTGAGAACAGGACTTAATATAACGATTCCCAGAACATTCTGATTGCTCCCCAGCGAGCTAACAAGTTTTTTAATACTTGTAGTTGTAATTTTCATTGTCACAGCTCCAGGTTATTGACACTGAACTATGGTATAACAATTGTGATCATATACACATATAACATACATATGTATACTTATTCACCCATGGATAATGAGAGACATTGCTTTCTCGAAATCCGCTCAATAACACCCACAAGAACTGCAACAATAGATGCAGGGTGTACTGGCTTATAACTCATAACAATTACACACCGGAAATCTGCTTATACAGTCAGTCAAACGACAATCCGTCAAACCTTAGTTAACAAAGTCAAAAGGATTAAGCCAAAGAGTTCCCAACAACGGAACAGTCAAGAACAAATGCCAATGAATGGAAATGCAGAGAAATGTGTGAAAAGAATGAAAGTCGGAGGCAGCAAGATTGATTAACTGTCAATCAAAAAGCAGCTTGGACAAGCGATGAATTAAATTGAACAGGTTGCTGAATACAATGAGGCTCATCAAATTATTAATGCCTTGGAAAAGTTGTACTTGAAACACTTTCGAGCTGAGAGTGAAAAGATGAGCGATATATTCTCAACTACTGTATGAGTATGCTAAGTAATCTCAATAGTTTGTTCCGTCTGCCAACTGTACCCTACATGTACTATAGGGTACATGCTGATGTTCCATCCATTGATATACTTGTTAGCTATATAGCCCCATAGCTAATGATGCCTCTTCCCATTGAAATCTTCACTACTGTGCTCATTGTCTGGCCGCCACATTAATCATACTTTATATTCTCAGACCAGCTTTGTGCAAACAATGCGAGCTGCAAGTAGAAAAAATAATTAAGTTCGGCTACTCTTTTACTAACAATTTTGAATGCCGCCATCAAATTCAAAATGCCATTAGCATATACTCGTTAATTATGGAATCGTGCCATTAGCAACGAACACACACATCATCTAAAATAAAGAGCCGCCGTGTTACACCGCCGATGTTGTGTGTATTTTTGGATGATCAAACAGCATTATATAATGATCTGAAATTGCTGACTGAAACAAAACCTGCAAACTCATTCAGTTGGCAACGTACGAGTACATACATGCCTGATTCTACGAATCTATAACTTCCTTTACTTCCGCTCTCGGTTCATACCGAGCATTCCTTCGATCCTATTGTCTTTTTGTTTTAGTACGCGCCTGAAGTCAACTTCCAGCAATTGGCGGTCGAGTGTGAATTGCTTTTGAATTGTTTTTGTTCTTTTTGCCAGCTGCGCAGGCGTTTGGTTCTCATTTTCAATCTCGTACTCGTATGTCTCAGTGCTACGTGCCGCTGACTCGTCTGAATTGCTCAGTTTTCAGGTAAATCTCTTGTCAGCTCACCAGTTTTAAGCCGCTTATTGAGGCTGAGGCTAATAGAATTTCGAACACACACACACACGCACAGAGAGAGAGACAATAAACTCGGGCTCGGGTCGTACGTGTCCCTAGTGTATAATTTTACTGGGCCTGTTAATCCGCTTGCTGAAAAATTGCAATCCGCCTGAGCTGCTCGGCTCAAATCGGGTTTCGTGGGTCAGTTTGTTTGTATCTGGCGTGTCAATATAATTGATTAATTGCTTTATTGTTGACGTCTAAAGAAGCGTGTGCAAAGAAAATTGCATAAGATTTGGATTTTGAAATGCTCGCTATGCATCCATGCGAATTTCCTCAAAAATAATGGCCAACTTTACTGGGATTACATGCTAATATGAAAGAGGGATTGATTTGATTTACGCTATGATCAGACAGGCAAATAATTTGTAAACAAATATGTCATGTAACCTAGAGCACGGAAATCTTCTAAATTACAATATTTATTTAAATATTAAATATAATATTGTGGGAATGGGTGATAGTAGGAACACCCCAATCACTAACAATAATTAAGTAGTGACCGAATAGTGATTGAATAGCGAAGTAGTAATAAGTAATCGATAATCGACAATAACGAATAACAGGGAAGTAAGAGGTCAATTGATATTGACCAACCAAAGTAGGAGACCGCTGAGTGAAATTCGAATAAAACGGATTTTGTAAAAGATTGTTATTTGCAATAAACATAAGTAACATCGTTAATTAAAATAAACTGAATTAATCCAACAATACGATTCCTCGTAGAAGCGTATTTTTCTTAGAAAAAGTTCTCCTATTTAGGTTAGGTTGATCCTGTTATCAATGATAACAAATACTGGTGAAAAATTACAAAAAAAAAAAACCAGATTCCTCCTCTCCTAGAATCAACCCTTTATTGTTACAAATAACGATTGAAAATCGTGAGTCCAAGTATATGCCAAGTATATGCCTTAAAATATGCAAAGCATATGAAACCAATTACCCTTTTTTATCAGTCATGGGCTCAAATGCTTGTATTCTTTAGATTGGTATGCAATTTTTCGACTTCGTAGTCTTTCTGCAATCTTAGATGAGCAAGGTGAAATTTTTTATCTTTATTATTTTCTGTGGCAAGGCAGACCAATGAAACGGATAGCTTTAATATTACTTAAATATTCTTGAGCTTAGTAGTTCTTAGCTACATAAACATACATGTGTATTTAGTCGACTTGGCATTAAACGATCCGTAAAAAATCGTTCGACATTAAAATACTACACTAAAACAGATGAGAGAATGCCTATATAAGGACAATTAAACGGTTAAGCCGTTGGACATGTCTAGATGAATTCATCGTGTAGATGGAGAATAAATATAAGTACTATATTGGGTCGAAATGTTTTTCTTCTGCTTTTTCTTCACCCCTTCGATTGCCGAACTTGTCGGAAATAATTCAGTATATTAGTATTCACTCGGATTGATTACATCTCTAAAATATATTATATCGACACAGTATGCGCTTTCAAAGATGTTTAGAAAATAAAAATTCCTGTTTAAATAAATTACATTCCGATCAGTTTATTAACAAAACGAGTTTCATAAAAAATTAGCTACTTTTTTGTTTTAAATTATAACAAAATTGATATAGTTTACTATTTCCGAAGGGATCGTAATGGCTGAACTGAATATCTTGGATCTGGATGACTTGTGTTTGCACTCCACTATGGAGTATTTGGGAGTGAATGATCTCTTCCATCTATCACATACTTGCACGCGATTCCCTGATTTGGCCAAAGAATGTGCAAGGAATTTATGCAAGAATATAAATTGTTGTGTTCTGATGGGAATCTCTCGGATGTACTACAGGCGACAAATTATATTGGGCTCGAAATACTGTAAACAATTGACGATTTATTTAAGTGAATTCCCGATCGGAGACACGAGCATGCTGTTCGATTATGTTGGAAAAATGGATTCGTTAAAGAACTTGATGGTTATGGGTTGCAGCCATTGTGTTTTAATGCAAAACTACTTCTTCTCAGCTCTAAAGCACTTAGAAAGCCTAAGGCGACTCTATGTCTATGGTAAGTACTTGTACTTTGGGATAGTATTAGTAAAAAGATAATTTAGAAATATTTAAACAGACTCATGCGCGCGTTGGCTAGACAACTTATGCCGTTTACGGAATCTTGAGGAAGTTCAGCTGGGTTTCGATGTGGAAGTCAGCGATTTGGTTAAGCTATGCCAGTCGAATACGAATTTGCGGAATTTGTCTATATTCAGATCATGTAAGGGAAATTTGGCGGATCTTGCACCACACTGCCAGAATCTGAAGGAACTATTTTTCTATACAAATGGCGGCTTGTATTGCACTCAGCCGGCACATTTCCCGAAACTAAAGGACTTATCCATGGAAATTTTTCGTGTTGGCAACACCGAAGTAGGAGAACTTGCCAGTTCATTTAGCTCGGATGATTCCTTGGCCTCAGTCATACATTTCGATCAACTTCGTGCTACGAATTTTGAAGAAATAGCTAAAATACCGTCACTGAAGGGCATTAATGTTCATTGTAATCGTGACACTTTGAATTGCCTGGCCACAGTTCCATTACTTGAGATAATAACCATAAGGAACTATGAGGCTGCTTTTCTTCCTTCACTATTGAATATATGCAGAGCTTGTTTACAACTTAAACAACTGTTCCTGTTCGGACCATTCCAAGTTTCGTATGGCTTTTGTGCCAATATCCTTGAAGTACTCAAATCGGTTAGAAATCCCACAGAGCAAAAGCCTTTAGAGGTACAACTATTCTGCCGCATGTCCATGGCCGTGGAAGATGTAAGTATAACCTTATGACCGCTTCCCGAAATATGCAGTAATAGCTTATTTGATTACAGTTGCAGGAATTTACGAATGAATATATGGAGTTAACTCATTTTTAAGCGCCCAGAGCTAAGAAAAACACTGTTTTACATTTAGCTTTCGCCAGAATGAAATGCGAAAGGAGAATTGAATGCTAGTTATGAAGAGAAATACTTTGGAAGTTAAGTCGAAGCTTCTGAATAAATGTAATGTCCTCGATTAAATACTCTAAAAACTATCTTAATGTAATTGACATTAAACATTGTTTTTCCAAACCGTGATTATAGTGTATTAAGTTCTGTTGCTATATTTATAATTTAATGAACTTATTATCATGCATTTTTCTTGAATAGTTTTTAAATACTTTATCATCTCTTTTCAATACAAATTTATGTGTATTTGAATTACTTTTTCAATATCTTCAATATCTGGTTCCAAGCAAATGTGCAATCTTTCCAATTGCGGGCAATAGTTCATCATGATGGGGAAAGTTTTCCATTACAGTTTGTAAATCTTCATAATCTTCAGTGCATAACTCGGTTCCAGGCATATAAAACTGTTCAGATATAGTTTCTCAATTCCTGTCGTCAAGTTATTAAAATATGGACCAGTTCAGAGCTTTTAAATACTTTAGCAGAGTGAAATATCTTAGAGACAAGTTATACAGATCGCCCTCAATTACATATAATTTGGGCAGCGCGTACACAATCCTCCCAATCTGAATACTTTATAGTGACGCAAATCCACATTTTTATGTATGGATGTTTTGCGAACAATATTTCTTCGACCTCTGAGATCATTGATACGGTTTTGTGTCATAAAAAGATAGTTCTACAACTCTCTCACTGTCAAAGAAGTCAACTTCCTTATATCACAAATATGGTAATATAGTTTGGTACAATTGGTAGATGTATTGCAAACGTCTGCATAGTCCGTGTTGTCCATAAATTGTAGGCAATCATCCACGATATGTAACAGCAGTATCGGTGGTGTCCTCGGGCTGCTGATGCGCGACTTCGCCTCGATTCTCTGTTCTTCCTCGTGGTACTCCACAAACAAACGGGCTATTTCGGGATTATAGAACTCTAAAATAACCTCCCTGCCATTGGCAAAGTAACGCAACTTTCGCAGCAATTTCATTTTCCCGAATGCCTCGAAATATGGACGCAGTCTCCTGTACTTTATACACTGGAAGTTCCTCAAACAGATCCTAGCAGTTTCCATTTCGTGTACTTTTGTTGCATTTGTTTGCTTTATTTCAAATAATGGAATTATTTTTAAGAATTGCAAACTAAAGAAATTGTATTTTATTAACGACCTGTGCTGTGTTTCTGTCTAGTCAGTACGTTCAATTAAACTCTCTAACACGTAGATTGTTATAAAGTAGATGAAAATAAATTTAAAGCAACGCATGCTGAAGTTCATGAAAATTATGGAGTCTGTTGACATTTTGGAATTTTGAAAATAATAAAATCAACTTTTTTATTTGCAAGGCAACACAAAATTTCGTTCATTTTTGTTGGTTTCTTATTTAAAATTCAAAATTTTTATCTTTTGAATTGTTTTTTTTTTCTTTGAAAGATGTCGCATAGTAAAATTAGCTGTTTTGTGAACGTAAAGATATGGGAAAATATAAAAGGTAGAGTTAGTTGCTGGAACAATTTTTGGCGTCGCCTTAACTTATTCGTTTTTTTTCCACTACATACAAGTATGTGACGTTTTTGAACGATGGAAACAGAAAGAAAGACGTTTTGAATTAGCAAAGGCAGAAGTTCTTTTTGAACACGATAATAGGCAAAATTAATGACGAAATTGCATTAATTGGACTACGAATTGCTGCCCCCATCAGGTCCAGAAGAGACATTTGGCTATTTCCAAATTTGAAAAAAAAAAAAATGATTGAGATAAGGAGCAGTAATAAACAACAAAAACAAGTAAAAAAAAAACTAAAGTCGGGTGTCCCGACTTTGAAATACTCTGTACATATGTTTACAATAATTATAGAAAATAAAAAAAAATTATATCGATTTCTCCCCTCTCCCCCAAGGGAGGGAAATTCCAAAATACACATTTTCTGCGTATTCACATAAGGTATCTGGGACTTACATTTGGTGTCCATAGGTCTTATAGTCTCCGAGATATAGGCGATAATACGAATGGAAAATCGGGAAAACGCCCATAGGGGGGAAGTGGGGGGGAGGGGGGGTCCAAAAAAAAAACCAACTTGCACAGCGTACACACATAAGGCATCTTTGTGCAAAATTTGGTGTGTCTAGCTCTTATAGTCTCTGAGATCCAGGTGTTCATACGGACAGACGGACAGACAGACAGACAGGGCTAGATCGACTCGTCATGCTGATCAAGAATATATATACTTTGTGGGGTCTGGCACGCCTCCTTCTGCCTGTTACATTTTCAGCTCCCGCAAATCTAATATACTCTTGTACATTTTATGTACAGAGTATAATAAAAGACTATATTAGTCTAATTTTTCGGCTAATTTATAAAAATATCGCTTTATTTATCGGCTGCTCTTGAAATACAAATGGGAACAATTTTAAGTACCAATCTCGAATGAAATAAAAATAATTCGTCTTTGTTTGGCCAAAAGACTTCATAGAAATGTTTATGTGAGTCATTTTCATATGTTGGAGCTTTGCGCAAATAAATTGTAAAATTCTATAACTACGCTACCATTAACATTTTGCAAAATCTTATCAATTTCGGGCATATTTCACACTTCTGATCATAAAAAAAGCGAGCGCAATAAACTATAAAAGCAAGGCGCAAAGTTTTTACACACTACTCGCATGCTCATGGGCTCAAATATTTATATAAATACATATCGTTGCCATATTAAAAGCAAATGATTGTAAATAACAACCCCAAGTACATACGAAAATCGATAGAAAATCTAAGAACGGGAAACACAAAAACAAAACAGCCCCAAAAGCTAAATACTGTGTGTGGGGCTGTGTGTGTGTATGTGTGTTTGTAGTTTCAAATGCGCATACCCTGTCACCAGCTAAATTATAACCAACCATACCGATATGTGCCTCATAAATAGTACACAAGCACACACTCGCATGCTGGCCAAAAATGTACTTCACTGTCGCAGCGATTGAACAGCATTTGGGCTGACAATGACAGAAGTCAACCAGGCAGTCGGCCATCAAATTGTTGGGCTACCCCCCGTTCATATGACACCTCATGAATGTCATTGTATGTGCTTCACTCAAACACAGACATGCACATACTCTCGCACACAAACACACAGATAGTCGATGCTAAGAGAGTGAGTTGGTTGACTGTCTGACTGGCTACTAAATTGTCCCTCGACACAAATTCGAAATCGATAAATGATAAAAATCAACAAAACTTCATGATGATGCTCCTCGCTAGCTCGCTCGCTCGCTCGTTCGTCTGTTCGTCTGTTCATCCGTTCGTTTGTTCGTTCGTCCAGGCATGAAATGTGGATGTGTGTGTCCCATTTAGAAGCTGTGGTGGGCGCGCTTCATGAAGCTTTTATTGTCTGTCTATTTCTAAGCTTTGTACATGGACTCCGACTACAACATAGTACTGTGCCATGCAATCAAAATGTATTGCCATCCTGTTCTGCGGATTAGACGCCATTTTCTATCCGCTCCCCACACTCCCCCTCTCCATCTCTCTCTAGCACTCTCCAGTCTCTCACTCGGCTCGCTTGTGCAGCAAATTTTCGAAAACTTACCAAATTGTTTTCGTTGTTAGGGTTTGCCGGGTGGATTCCAATGCTGATGCTGATATATGAGCCATTGAGTTGGTCTGCGTTCTGGCTGTTGTTGGCTTCTGCTGGTGCTTTTGCCTTTGGCAGCCTCTGTCTATATTCCTGCTTCCTGTCTGTCTAGCTTTGTGTGTGTGTGTGTATGTGATATATATGCATATACGGCTGGTTTTTGTAGGCAGACATTGAATATGCCGTGTTTTTCATTTGCTTGTTGGCTTTTTTCATGTTGCTGTTGTTGTTGCTGCTGATGCTATTGCTTTGCTTGTATGTTACATTAATTTGAATTATTGTTTATGTTTATGGCAAAACAATGTACGTATGCGTTTTTAATGAGCGTGACATTGTTTTTTATGGGCTTTCATGAGATTGTTGTGTATTTTTAAGTTAGTTACAGATGTCAAATAGAAGAAATATAAATTTGATAAAGCTGTATGTTCATTTTAAAGGTGTTTGCTTATCCATATCACTGTTCTGTTGTAATAATTATTAATTATTTACAGCAAAATTCCCCTATCTCATCGATTCTTTTAATATATTGAAATTCTGATATTAAATACGGATGAGAGCACCTGAAGCACCTTTAAAAAGCATAACTTTACTTTTTTACTTTTTTTAAGGTATATTTGAAGATTTTTGAATATACATAAGGATGTTGAAAGGCATTCACAGCTTGTGAAGTTGTGACCGCAGCTTATCTAGAATGAGTTGTTGGATTTTTAAAATGAGCAGAATGTATTAAAATAGCTTTATAACATTCTTGGAATATGACACTAAATATACTAAGTCTTGCTGGTACTACAGATTATATATATTTCTATGAACTTTCACAAAATAAAATACACAAAACTTGCGAATGGAAAGTTAGTCTAACAGTTCAGAAAATTCTTTAATTTTAGCCTAATTTTAAGAAAACTAAAAACAACGTTTAATTTTATTGAAGTTTGTCTTAAAAAGTCAAGTTTGTCAAAAAAATATCAACAGTATTCTTTATTTAAATTTATTCATACACAGAATTGTGTAAATATTTATCTTTGTTACCAAACAGAATTACTCAATTTTTCTTTGACTTTGGTAAGCTCTTAAACATTGAATAAATGTCGTTTTAATATGAAGTACGAATGTTGGCAATTACATGCTTGAATATATTATTGAATAGTTTGAATTACCCTAACGATCTTCTTATTATAATAAATATTTATTAATATTTCCCACTATCAAATAAGCCAGATGATTATGTACATATGTAGTAGACATTACAAATTATGAAAAATGTCTTAGACATTTAAGCCAGCTTTTCTACAGCACACAGCGGGCATATATTTTAAGTACTTATCCTTACCTTGAAAAATGTTTGTCAATATTTGAATCAACATTACATTTGAGAATGTATTAAGGACAAAGTATATAAAAGTCTCTCCCTTTCATGAGTGTATATTTTTCTCAGATTCAAGGCAGACTTTAAAATTTTAAAGATATACTTACTATATATGTATTCAAGACATATCAGTCACGTTTTTCTTCTCTCTCCACTCTGCTTTTATTAAAAGAAGTTCTTCATTAATTTTACCACCAAATATTTAATATTATCATAAATTTATATCATCATTAATAACTGCTTTAGTTAAAAAAAATATAATGGCAACAAACAACTTTTTGGAAAAAAGTCGAGAATTTAGGTAAATTGTGAAGGTTTAGCTAAATAAAGCATTTATCTCAATTACGTGAGCCAATAATACAATCAGAGCAACAACACCTTTACTCAAATACATTTGTCGAATGTGCAACATATTTGATTTCATTAATTTGTTGCAAGTCGAATGTTGTTAATGAGCTCACAGCGGCAGCCCATTAAAAATGCAGCATACACGTAAGTAAGTGTGTGCGTGTTTTTGTGTGCGCGTGTGTATGTGTTTTTGTATTGTATGGCAAGAATTGAGCAACAAGCGCAAAACAAGAAGTTAACATAGAAGGTCATAATATAATCAAGAGCAGACCTGTGGCCAAAGAGCTCAAAGCAGCTCATTAACTTCGCCATGCACAACATACAAAGGAACACACATACGTACATACATGCATACATGAATACACATATATATACATGTAGGCATACACACACATGCATACAGCATTGAGCAGCACTCAGTGAAGCGCAGCCACGCAGGCCACGCCCACACCACGCACAGCCATGCGCAGTCGTTGTTCAAAATGGCTAGCGCGGTGTTCCAATTCCATTTCGTTGCATGGCTATTGCGCAGCTACGCATGTCGCACTCACACAAACAAACAGACGAACTTGATGCGAGTGTTATTATTATTGTTGTTGTTGTTGTTGTTAACAATGCTGCTGCAGTTGGCGCAGCAGAATGTTGGGGCTGCTTGGCTGGCTGGCTTTTTAACGCGCTCGACACGAAAATGAGCATGAAACGTGCGACAAGCGATGGAGTCCATTTTGAGTTTATTGTTTGATGATTTGAACATTTTATACACACACACACACACACACCTATACACGAGTGAATGTGTTTGTGTGAGTGCATGCATGGTAGCTATAGTTGTATGTAAATACGTATTCACGTATGTGTCTGTGTTGCTTTTTGTTCTTGTAATTGCCTGACGCGCACTAGTTACTTGCTTCTGGCCCCTCTTTTTAACATCTTACTCCATTTTTTTAAAGGGCATTTTATGCTTCAAGCTGACTTCCTTGACTTGCACCAGTGGATTAGTTAGCACAACTGTACCTTGTACAACTAGAGCCCTTCTCTGCGCTGTTCAACAGCCATCAATTTATTTAGGTGCAATGCTACAGAGGGGTCGGACCAAAGATTGCACGGTTTTTTTTTTATGTATTTATGGTTGTGTATTTGTTGATTTAAAATTCATGCCATGCTTTGAAGACGTACGTATGTATAGTTGTTTGATTATTTAGTTTATGTCAAAGTTCTTCATACATTTTCAATCACAAAAACGTTTTTTTTTTTAATTTGGTACAAATACTAATATAATAACCATGGTTTATTATTTAATAAAATCATTCAAAAAAATTAGACAGAAAATTAATTTTTAAGGATGATTAAAATTAACATAAAGTTAAAAGCGTGTTCAAAAATTTTGAACTAATACGGAAAGCACTTACACGTAATTGTACAGCAAACACAGCACTACGGTAACTAAATAATTCAACGATCTAAATGCCTTTCTCTGTACTTCTTAATTAGGATTAACTGCTTACAACCGGATCATTATTAATAATTTCACTGCAAATTATCCATTTAAATGTCTTTTTATACTTGCATGACATAATTTCAACACTCTTAGATGTCCTTTTTCGCATCTAATGAACTATATCTTCTTTTTTTTCCGTACCCATCTCCTGACTTTCATTTTGTCTTCGACCTTCATTCATATGCCATTCCGGCTAAATTTATTGCCTTTTGATTGACAATTCAGCAGTGATGGCAATTAATTTGCCATATAATGCATGCGTTACGGTCTCATCAATTTCTATTGTTTAAGCGTTTGTCACCTCGTGCGCTCTCTCGTTTTCGCTACTCTGTACGAGCACAGTTTATCAATTGACCATTTTTATGCCTGACATCCGACAGCAGCTATTGTTATTAATAGGCATTAAGTTTTTAATTATGACTGTCTCCTGTCTGCCTGGGGGTAGTTGGACCTCATGATTTGCATGAAAATTTAACAAAGTAATAGTAAAGTAAAAGCATTCCGGTTGATTTGCGTAACCAATTTGATTGGCAATGGTTATATAAGCAAGTCCGTACAGCTCTGCAGTTCGTTCATTATTTTACAAACAGTTAGCAATATGTTGAAGTGGTAAGAGCAGCATTTCAACATTTTTTAAATCTATATTCATATATATCATATTGCAGTTATTTGTTTGTGCTAATTTACCTGCTGGCGATTATACTAGACATTCATGGCGTTACTGGACACATGATACCAGGAACTTGTCCGAAATTGGATAGCACAATAAAAAGTGTAAACATGAAATTGAGCGCTAAATTTGTTCATCTTCACATTGTTTTCTTTTTTCAGACTACGTTAAAAGGCTCTCTTCTTAGCTATGGCATGTACCTGGATCTTTACAAAATCAACGATACAACAATCAATGTTTGCGAGTTCCAAAACTATCCACCTAAATACCTCAAACGCTCTATAATTATCGCCACCGACAACAAGAACTTCGTCATACACTGGAAATGTAAACCCTCGACTGATAGGAGAAAACACACAAGTAGGTGCCAACAGGAATCAATACAATTGTTAGAATCTCAAAAATAACGTCCTTTAATATTCCACAGGAGCCACATTTATATTTACGCAACCAACATTCTCCGAGCAGGTCGCCAAATATATTGATGAAACGCACGTAAGGCTCGGCCTAAAACCAGCCAATATTGTGAGATTGTGTGAGAGGAATGTAACAATTTTTAAGGACAACAAAACTGAACCGAAAAAAGAACAAGCGCGTGGCTTTAGGCTGCAAAAAAGTGCTGGCTTACTTGATGAAAGCCCAGCTACATAAAAGCAACAAATAGCACAAGATTTTTCTATAAACGAAACTTAACCTAAAATTTACTGGTTTTATACATATATTTGGAGCAATTATAAAGTAGAAGGTTTCATTACCAGTAAGTATGAATAGCGCACAATTAGATTCGCATAATTTCATTAGAACCTCCCACTGACGTAATTAAACTTCTTGACTTATGCAACGGTTGGTTGTTTCCAAATAAAGTGATTCAAATCACAATTTTATGGTTATTATATAGAAAACATTGAATTTTCTTGTGGCGCTGTTTGTTCCCGTACTTCTTACATACAAAAATAGACTTCTTTCATTCAAACGTGCCTAAATAGAGTTATAAATAATAAACTTTGTGTTTCTTTAAGTCTTTTCATATGTATCGAAATGGCAAGCTAAAAGCCTAAAAAAATTAGAAACGTATTATTATTATTGACATTTACTTTTAATTATGAAATTGAATATACGAGCACATATAGTACATATATAAAGGTTCATATATTATGTACCCATAAGATTAACAAAAGGCGTATGTGACCGAACCTTCTAAAACATAAACCTTTTAAGACAAACAATTAAAATACTTTTTTAACCAGTTGCCGGAAAAAATGTATCTTACTATGTTTATTTTATCATATAATTTTTTTTGGCTTGAATTAAGATTGTACAAAACAATGCTATGCAATATTTTTTTCCATGCAGCTGTTTGGAATATTTTGTATAACAAATATTTGGTCTTTCCTTATTAGATTCCTCATTATCTCTTTATTTTTTGGAGATATATGTAATTAGTTCCAATGCTCTGATCTAACTTAGTTTCTAAATATTTTATTTTTAATTTGAATTATCAGCCTTCGTATAAGTATTTAAGAAGTTAAGAATTGAGAGCAAAAACAAATATATATAGTATTTCTTCAAAAACGGTCTTATTATCTTTCAAAATACTCTCCATGAATATCAGTAACAACCAAATATTTCAGCGCTTTATCCCCTCAGCAGATGTTACCTCAAAAGCAAACTTTTTGAGGGCTTCAAAGGATTTTTAAAGCACCGGAAAAGGAAGAGTTTACGATGATTTTTCTTGGATGTATGGGAATAAAAAATATATATAAATATATATAGTAAGAAGGATAAACGTGTGTTAGCCGAGCTCTCATTGTCTTCATGAAGGATGATCCGTTCTTGGCAGTTTGTTTTCTTTAACTCTCCTACAAATGCCTGGGTACTATTAAGAATTGACTGTCCAATGTTCATCCAAATGGGAGACCCATACGGTCGAATGCTATGTTGGTTCGGGCTCTAAACGAATTCTTTTTAAACGCAAAAATATAATTTAAACAAAATTTTAGTTTTAATTTGAATCTTACAACGCCGCCTTTAGCGTTTAAAATGCAGAAGGCACAAATGAATTTAGTAAAGTTCTAAACTTGAAACATAGTATGCTAGCAGTATTGCTTGAATGAAAAACACATAAAACATAGCTAAATAGCCTCGATAAACGACCCAGAGGCCCAACAGGAGAGACGATCAATACAATGAGTAAAATTCACACTGCTGCGAAAAATCTTCAGTCGACATTAAAAGCAACTAATTTATGGCCTTTTAATTTAATGGGCTGGGTTGAGAATTGTCCTTTTGCAGGGCGACATGGTAAGTAACTCAATTTCGGGTGGGTTGCAGTTGCCTTTACTTTTTCAGTCACAAGGCAACTCACACACACACACACAGAGGCATGTATGCATGTCGCTACTGTTACAGTTTCAAGTTCATAATCTATCCACATATGAGGGTTGGTCTTTGCTTGTTGCAAAAAAAAAAAATATATAATAATAGGGGAAATAGAAGCAAGGAAATGAAATAAATTTATACAGCAAATGTTCATTCTTGAACTTATTTTTGGGTGCTTATGTGGAAAATTTTTAATCTATAAATATCTATAAAAATCAATTTTGTGTTCACGAGACAGTGTTGTTCCTTCAATGGCTTTGGGTAAGGCCGGGTATTAGAGTGTGGCAAAAAGCAGAGCAGGCGGATTAATTGCAGATGTTATGATTTTTACTTCTTTTTGCAAATACGAACATTTTTAGAGATTTTTTCCGCACGATTTGCTCTGAAACAGCAAAGTAAGTACATACATGATACGAGTATGGTTGAATGGTTTTTGGGAAGAGAGAAACCGGCCGAGATGGAAATTAAATATTTTTTAGCATTGCAGCGATTTTCATTAAATGATGCAAATTAATCAAACTGTCATAGATCTAGAATAATGAACAAACAAACATTGAGCTGATAACTAATTGCTCTATAGGCAACCAAAACCGATCTGCTGTAGGGGAAACTCTCCATCGTAGTCTTAGGGTTGTCAAAAACACATTTATCACACTTTAAATGGGTCTCATCGCAGGGTCTATCGTTTGCTTGTAATGCGCTATCAAGCTACGCAATTAAAGATCACCAAAGGAAAACGCTTTATGAAGACTCATTGAGCTGCGAAATTAGCAAGGATAATGGCAGCGGTGACAACACACGCATACCAATCTGGTAGGGTCGTGCCAAAGTCAGCTGCGCAATACTTCCGTCTTCCAAAGGGGGTTGGACCTTGACAGCCAAATGCACAATCTCGTTCAGGCAACCGGAAATCGGATCATTGAGTTCAGGTTTTTAGGGCGACTGTTGCTTTGACAATACTCCTGAGTGTGCGCGTCTGCATGTGTGAATGTGTCTGTGTCCATACCGGCTTTTTGACTCTGTTTCTTTTTATTTTTTGATTGATCACCATCACCCAATTAGTGTAAATGCGATTATGTATATGAGTGTGAAGGTACAAACAGTTAAAAATTCCTTATAGGGGAAAGTAGGGAAATGTTGTCAATTGTGTGCTTAGGGTTAGACACTGAGAGAAATAAATGGCATGTATTGTTGTATATTTTTTTGATAGAATTATTTCTTATATGATAAGATGGGGTCTGCCACGCCTCGACAGTAACCTGTTTGATACATTTGGAGCTTTCTAGTACACTTTTTAACCCTAGGAATCGCTTATGGTAAAGGATCAGTTGATCTAGCTGTGTGTTCCATCAGCAGAAAATACACTAGACCAAATGGCATTATTATTTGTTGATCTCTTGTAATCATAGCCTTATTATGGCTCTGAAAAACTGTAAGCCGGTGCAATAACTATATTAACTGACTGAACACCTAATTTGTATGCTCTGCAAAGGGAGATGACAGAATTTTGTACCAACACTTATTTGGATTTTCGGGGCATATGTCTGTTCCTTGCTCAAGATGTGTAAAAATGTGAAATTCCTATACGAGTAGTGAAAAAAATAATATTATATATATCCACGTAAACTATTCCCCTGAAGACAAGTTATTTGGTGTCATTTGAAAACTATACGAAGGAATGAGGTCTGCTTTCTGTTCTGTCAATATCATTTACTTTTTTTTTGTCAGTGTATTATAACCCTCGTGGCAACAATGGTATGGAGTTATTAGTGCACAAATTACTTTTCACTGCCACTGTCAGTCCCTCATCAAAATGTAGCAAAACACTCGGTCGTATGTAGAGTACAATGGATTTTTGCTAAATTAATTTTTCCCAATTGACTTCAAACACAAAAGTCAACCGAGGGGTTGATCGTGCGGGCTCGGCACGCGTTCCATCTCACTCTAACCCAACCAGCAGTCTCTGTCTCTGTCGCACTCTCTTTCTCTATACCCTATCATTAACCGATCATATTTAGTGTAACAAGGTAAGCACATAATTAGGGGTTGCTCTTTATATGATCTGTTGTTCCAGCCTCATAATAACAATAGAGCATTGGCAAGTTTTTAATTTTGTGTGAAATTATGGCACTTTGAATGCTAAGATTGAAACGATGCCCGCAATTAACGCCCGCCAATTGACTGATATTGATACTTTCGAATATATGTATATCTACATATTTGTTTTGGGGCCCCAGGCAAGCTGGCGCCACAAAGCTAACATTTAAAATGTAATTAATATTGGGGTAGAGTAAACAACGGCAGCCATGAAAATTAAGATGCCACGCTAATGTATATGCGCTAATTAAAGTCTGCCAACCCCAACAAACACATGTGTAGTAATTAGTAAAACTCTCTTGGCTGCTGATGCCGATGCCGTTGCCGATGCTTATGTTGCTGCGTGGTCCTTGTGCTTGGGTGTAATCTAGAAAATCATAAAAATATGTTGAACGACAAAGTAGCAAGTTATTATTATTACATGCCACACCCCCAAGGCCCAAACCCTCGCCTATTTGGCTCACGCACTGGCACTGGCACCTAAAAACATTTAAGCAAATTAGCTGAAAATGCAAATGTAAAAATGACGACGACTACCAGTAAAATTTTACAACCACACGTACAAACACACACACACATATGTGCTAGTATGTGTTATCCGCACAAAAACCATCTTGAGAAATAATTAAGATGTATGTAAATGGAGAAAATGCTAAAATTGTTAAAAGCATAATATTTCTTGGGGCTCTCCAACCCCAACCTCAACCCCAACCATTACCCTTATCCATACCCTTACACACAAAACAGAATCCTCCACTGGCCAAATGACAACGCACATGTGTTATAATTTTTGTTGTAACAAAGCTATAGCCTCCACTCAGTGTATATGTATGTGTGACGCCATATTCTAATTCAATTATCACTTTGGTAGCTTCGCTGCGGGGGGTCGGATCGGGGTCCCAGTGACACTAAAAGCTTTGTCACATCCACATCTCGAACAACTTTGGCCACGACGGCAACTTGCGGTAATGCATGGCGAGCATTTGGGCCCGTCAGACGTTTGCTTTGATATATGGCGGTACTTAGATTTTCGAAAAGTAACGTAATTTAGTAGCTGCTGGAATTCAAAAGTGTATTGCAGTAAGCCATGGAAGGTGGTGGTAGACAAATATAGAGCATGGCTAAGAAATCAAATTGAAGAAATTCCCATTCTAATTAAAATAACTAAGAAAATTTTGATCAAAACAATCAAAGATTCTTTGAGGGCTTAGTGGACAGATGCAG